TCTATCTGGATAATGGGTCTGTTTAATGTCTTGTCTTCTCAATTCAGAGGGGCCCCATTCCTGTCTTTGCCTAGGGCCACAAATTTCCTAAATCTGCCCCTGACGGGGGTTATATTTAATAGCAGTGAAATGCTGTAAATGTTTAAGCGTTTTCTTTAAACGCCCAGCAGGGCTTGATCCTCTTTCCAGCGGTTATTTGTGAGTCTCGCTCAGCTTTCTTGTGTTCTATACCTGGCAGTGTCCCATGTAGGCCAGCTTCTTCCCAGCCTGCTGCAGATGGCATAGACTGCGGTGCACCAGGCCGTCTGTGTCACAGGCCGGCTCCATGCTGCTTCTGTCACAGACCGCCGGTCGGCCTATGCACTCGTACTGCAGACAATCTGAGGTGTTGCTCAGACAAACGCGACGTCTTGGGACACACCTAACACAAACACATCAACACACCATCTTTATCTAATGTAATGACATCACAAAAGGGTTCTAGGGTTTATATCTAAGATGAATGTTCAGTTTTATCAAGCAGCGAAATGAATTACTTTATTTTTGGTATTCGCCCGTTACCTTGATGTATCTATTAGCATTGTTTTTTTTTTTCACTTAGTCAAGATAATCCATGATAATCAGCAATTTTCAGCTGTGATGAAACAATGTTCATAATTATAAGGAAAATGTTATGCAACTGCAAACAAATTCCATATGAAATGTACTCTATAGTAATGCTGCTATAGACTTAGACTGCTGGAGGACATAAGGACCCCTTTTTCATCATTCTACTTCACTCTCTCTCTATTCTCCCACTCTGCAGAATCTCCAACATTCTGCTCTCTCTGCTTTTTCTCATAGTAGCTTCATCTGGTCTGTTCCTGTTTGGCTGTGACTCCATCCATTTGCATCATTAGATAGAAGGAAAGCTGTATGTCAAATATATGTTTACAATCTCAGTTGCTAGGCTTTCCAAAATACAGTGGGGCCAAAAAGTATTTAATCAGGCATTGATTGTGCAACTTCTCCTACTTAGAATAATGAGAGAGGTCTGTAATTTTCATCATAGGTACCCTTCTCAAGCCAGTACATGTCCAGACCCGCCTGAAGTTTGCCGGAGAGCAGATGGATGATCCAGAAGAGGATTGGGAGAATATCATGTGTTCAGATGAAACCAAAATAGAACTTTTTGGTGAAAATCCAACTTGTTGCGTTTGGAGGAAGAGGAATGCAGAGTTGCATCACAGAACACCATACCTACTGTGAAGCATGGGGAAGGAAACATCATGCTTCGGGGCAGTTTTACTGCAAAGAGGACAGGAAAACGGATCCACATTGCAGGAAGAATAAACAAGGCCATGTATCATGAGATTTTAAGCCAAAACCTCCTTCCATCAGTGAAAGCCTTGAAGAGGAAACGTGGCTGGATCTTCCAACAATGATCCCAAACACACCGGTCCTGGAGTGGCCCAGCCCGTCTCTAGACCTGAACCCCATAGAAAATTTGTGGAGGGAGTTGAAAGTCTGTAATGCCCAGCCACAGCCCCCGAAACATCACTGCTCTAGAGGAGATATGCATGGAGGAATGGGCCAAAATACCAGCTACAGTGTGAGAAACCTGGTAAAGACGCACAGGACACGTTTGACCTCTGTCATTGCCAACAAAATCTGTTACAAAGTTTAAAGTTGAACCCCATTTATTGACCAAATACTTATTTTCCACCGTAATTTACAAATAATTTCTTAAAAAATGTTATTTCCTGGATTTGTTTCCCCTCATTTCATCTCTCATAGTTAAAGTGTACCTATGATGAAAATGACCAACCTCTCTGATTATTTTAAGTAGGAGAACTTGCACAATCAGTGGCTGACTAAATACTTTTTGGCCCCACTCCACTGTTGGGGGGAGCTTTAATGCTCCCCCCAAAATAAAAGGTTTATGTCTAAAGATTGAACAGCAACCTGACAGAAAGGTTAGAAAATTTGCATCATGTTACTTTGTTGTTCTAATTTAAATAGGGTTGCTGCTAATAATTATTTTGTAAATCAATTAATCTGTCAATTATTTAGTTGATTAATTGATTAATAATTGGATACTCAAAGGTTGGCCAAAGAAGATTTCATTCAGAATTAAACCAGGTGAAACAAAAACTTGTTCACAGTTCTGAATAGAGCATTGACCGATGAAAAAGTTTTTTAATATCAAAAGCATAATGTTTATATTTTTTTACAATCTGCATATAATTCCTGCTCTTAGTCTGTCAACTAAAGGCATATTTTACAGTCTCTATACTCCAGTTGATAATTAATCGATAACTAAATTAATTGATGGTTATTTCAATAATTTATTAATCTGCTGAATTAATACATTATTAATGATTGATTAATTAATTAATTAATGATCCTTAAGTGGAATTGGGGGGGTGTGGAATAAACATATCCAAGATTAGCTGAAGGTATGGTGTTGTTAACACATCCGTTAAAGTACATCTGATTGCCTGTTAAAATAAAATTCAAACTGGCCCTATAGCTTCTATGGCAAAACACGAGGTTTTGGAAATGAAACTGGATCCCAGGACCAAAACCACCTGAACAAACTAGCCGTCAGTCAAAGGATGGGTGTGTGAATATGGATGAGTTTTCCCTCTATAAACAGAGTTTTAAACCCACCTCTGGTTTCTCGGGCAGCTGATGCCAGTGCAGGGGTTACTGGAATGGCAGTGGCCAAAGACAAACTGTTGATCTTTGAATCCCATACAGCGAGCCACACATCCACTGGGATAGGTACGCCCGTTAACGGCACAAACTGGGATAAAGCTATACGGACAGTTACAGGGATGATCTGAAGGAGAAACGAAGGGAGGGGGTAAATACATCAAATAGGAATAACGTTAATAAAATTTAAAAACCTTTGATTAGAGTTAACCTTGACTAATAGCATCAAACTCAAGTAAAAAAAAAAAAGCTCATGAAGACGAACCAGTAGAAGCCCAAGAGTCTTTCTTTGTGGGACATTTTCTCGTCGAGCAGATGGTTTCTCCAGCGAAGCAGGAGCATGTGTTGCAGTCGGTCGTGAAAGATGAGCCGTGGTCTGATGGGGAAACAACAAAAGAACAGGACATTTTTTTAAAAGTATCTCAACCTTCATTTCTGTCGCTCTGTGTTGCTACTAACTCCAGTTGCCTCATTCTCACTATCCAATCCATACCGGAAGCAAGATCCGTACCATTAGCTCATTTGCGCATGTGCAACTGGATATTCATCCAGGTTGTCATTAAATAATGTTATTATAGGGGCTGACCTGTTTTCGGTTCTAAGCCATAACAAGGCTTTTATTGGGCTACTCTATAAAGCATGGAACTCAACACTACTCCAGACATTTTGAATTGAGCAAGCTTTCTGGATGGTAAGAGAAACATCTTCAAACTTGGAAAATAAAGTCCAGTTGTTTGTTTTGAACTTTTTTGGAATATCGCAGATGACTTTGTATCATGACAGAGGAACTGTCCTAACTAGATAAACATTTGTTTCAGAAATTCACACATACTTACACCACCTCATAATGCTCATGCTAAGTTCAGACCGTACGCGACAGAGGCAGAGAAAGCAGCAGGTTTACATGTCAATGGTTGATGCGCATCAAGGTGCATCAGAAGGTCTCGGAGTTCGCCTAGAGCAGCAGGCGCAATGCACTTAGATGCATTAAAGCAGCTGAAGCAGCAACTCATGAGCATTGAGGCGTGCAGTACGCTTCAGAAGCCGGAGCTGCTGGAGTTGGAAAAATTGAACTTTTGCTGCTGGATGTGCCTCATCAACCAATCAGAGAAGCTGATCTGGGAGCTGGCAGGGAGACAGACACAGCACTGCTGATGCAGAGTGCTATGATCACTCCACTGAAACTGTTTATTTACACCTAAATTACCTTAAAATGTGAAAACCTGCAGGCAAAATATGTTTGCTTTTATTATATGAAAACTGGGCTGTGTTCGGTTGGTCAGATTTTGTCCCACTTTAGTCCAATAACAGACTGAAAACCTGGCTTTTTAACTTTCACTTTTCAACCAAATAATAACAATTAATGGCTGAACTTTATTGATCTCACATTGGAGAAACTTTGCTCCGCATTTAACCCATGGCGTTGGTGAGCAGTGGGCTGTTATCGTGGGGCTCCTTGGGAGCAGTGTGGGGTTAAAGGTCTTGCTCAGAGACCCAGAGTGGCACTCTGTGGGAGTGAACTCAGAACCTCAGGATTCCAAGCACTATGCCCTAACCACCAGGCTGCCACTACCCCTTAAGAAGTCATTTGAATGTAAATCATGTCATCTTTACAACCAGTTTTTGCTAGGTGGGAAGTCATTCTATCACATACTATCATCATCACAGTCTGCTCTTGTTTAGATATGGTAAAAGAACTAAGAAAAACACCATTCGTCATTGCTGGAGACACATTGTTCCTCCTTAGCGGTATTGGGAACAGCTCACTGACGCGTGTATACCCAGGTTAAGTGACTCAGCAAACGACCTACTTTAAAATTGCCTCGGCTCTGATCAGCATGCTGTGGCAACACAGGAGCTGAGTCGACCTGCTACTTTAGGTGATAGCATTGAAAGCAACGTACGGAAGTCAACACATCACGCCAGTCGCTTCTAATCTAACAAGCAGAAACAACTTTGTTTACATTCAATAAACATGGAGCAGCTCTGGTGAGAGCGATTCAGACAGATAATAGAGCGAAACAATAAAGCACACTGACTATGCCCTGAGTTCCTTCCATATTGCTTTCCATTGTTTACTTTCCTGAATTTCTGTCGCGCTTTTGAACTCATCAATGCTAACCCAACGTGATGGTGAAACCAGACATGCAGCGACGTGGGGTCAGAGGCCACGCAGCTGCCAGTGAGGGATTAGACTCAGCATTTTTTGCCAGTGGGCAGGGAGCAAAATGCTGTGTGTTAGCAGGCCGCCCATGTTTGAAAAATATGCATTAACCCACTATTTACAGTAGGATAGAGGCTTTACAGCTTGCCGCTAGTTCAAATGTATATTTGAAGACCATATCTTTTCCGAGTCTTCTTCAGGCTGGGATGTCATGTTAACCTGTAACACTGGTATCCCATAATAAATTTGTAAACAGCAAGCTGCTTTTAGGCCTCTTAAATTTACACACCGGTCTGAAAGGTTGGGAACAGTTTTAACAAGTCAATTAAGGTTACGCGTATTAGGGTGATGACTTTTTTTACAACCTTATATTCTTGTGTTGTAATTTGATTAACTTTTATTAAAGATTACGTAAAATCTTACTTTAAAGGTGATTTTTAATTATCAGCTTTTTTGGCTACTTTTTAAAGTCAAAACTGAATAAGCTTAGGAATCACAGGTATAACATTAAATAGGGTTAAAACACACACAAGGAAGTGAATCAGCAAAGCTAATGTCACTGGCCAGGATGAATCTCAGACGGAGGTGGACCTTGTTTTGGCAGGATTCGTGCAAATCTTGCACAACTTTGATCACACTTTCGCAGCACTGGTTGCTCTGGGTAATGTTGATTAGGATTTCATCTGTTTTCCAGTGGGTTATCATATATTTGAGACCTTTTGGGCATTCATTCAGAACTGCAGATACTGTAGTTCATTCAAATCTGGAACAAAATTTTCAAATTTGAATGCACGTCAGGACCCAACCTGATTTGAAACATTTAGAAATTACAGCATGTTGCCGGACGATAGCGTCTAATTTCACTTGCGCTGCTTCTCCTGTTTCTATGGTAAAGACCTCTGGAGCGTCCGGCACCAGGCTGCACGTGATCCAAATTAGCACATGAGCT